AACATCCATCAAACGTGTTTAAATATCAAATTGCAAAATAGAAATTAAAAGATCATAATGCGAGGTTCATCGTTCACCTAGTACATAAAAAGTCTAGCCAAACATGGAGAAAATAAAAGAGCAATAAAAATAATGAAAATTTTTAAGCAACTTGCTTATTTTGAAATCTCTTTAATAAATTACTTTTTGTTAGGGATGGACCTAATCAAGTTCAATCTAATTGATTTTAGTGAAAAGGAGACGAAATCGAATATATTCATGATTCAGAGGGTATGGACACAATCCAGTTAAATTTGAATTTGGTGAACAGTGAATGACGTCGAGTATCAATGAGAACTATACTAATGAATTCAAAGGGTTTCATGTGCAGACGATGTAATTGAACTAAGGGTCCATTTGATTGGAAGAGTGAAATTTGGGTGGGAAGAAAATGAATTTCAGGAAATTGAGTTGCCTAGAATTGTTTTCCTGATAATTGTCAATTAATTGTGTTTGATTAGTATAATTTTTCATGTAGAAAATATTGAAATTTTGGATCTTTTGATATTCGTTTGATTTCGTTTTACATGAAAATTGTCAATTAAAGGGATATAATTTATTACAATTGGGGATAGAATTTGTTTTAATTGCAATTTTGTTTTTTTTTAAAGTAAAACTAGAAAATCAATTCCCACCGTGTGAGCCACAACCAAGAAAATTAAACCAATTAAACAAGCCAAAACCAAGAAGATGGAAATCAATTTCCAAGTTCCATGGAAATCAATCCAAATCAAACAGGGCCTAACTATTTATATTTAAACAATAAGGCCTTGTTTGATGTTACATATTTTCCAAGTTTCAACTTTTTAGTTGTTTGATAGCCAAATTTTTCTTGGCAATTGAGTTTCCCCCAACCCACACGACCCTTATTTCCATGATTTCATTGAATCAATTTTTCCACAACTTCGGTAGGAAAATGATTTTCCACCTTTTTTTTTACAATGAAAATAAATTATATCCCTCAATTAATTTTTTTTCCTTTAATGAACAATTTCCATCGAAAACAAAGTCAAACGAACGTCAAAAGATTAAAATTTCAACATTTTTCAGGTGAAAAATTATACCAATTAAACACAATTAATTGACAATTTTCGAGAAAACAAGTTCTAGACAATTATTTTATCTGAAATTCATTTTCTTTCCATTCATTTTACATTCTTACAATCAAACGGATCCTAAAAGTGTTATATTATTCTAATCATATATTGTATATTCATATAATTTAATTTTATGACTAATGTAATAGTGAAATTGAAAAATAATAATTTTTGAAATTGAATTGAAATTTTGTTGCGGGTATTATATATTTAACGGCTTGGATACAGAGGCTCGGATCGTTACAGCATTTATGCTGAAGCATCTTGCTTTTATTTTTGAGCATGTTGGCTAAAATTAAAAGGTTTTGTACAAGTAAATTTGCATATTAATAAATAATTTTTTGGGATCCAAAATTGAAAAAATAAAAGAAGTTAAGGGTCCGTTTGATTGCAAGAATGGAATTTGGGTGGAAAGAAAATGAATTCAAGATAATTAAATTGTCTAAAACTTGTTTTATTGGGAATTGTCAATTAATTGTATTTGATTGGTGTAATTTTCCACCTGAAAAATATTGAAATTTTGGATCTTTTGGTGTTCGTTTGACTTTGTTTTCCATGAAAATTGTCCATTAAAGAGATATAATTGTTACAATTGGGGATATAATTTGTTTCCACTACAAAAAAAAAAGAAAAAAGAAGTTGCCTAGACAAGCTTTTCTCACCAATTTCATGAAAAATTTGGACAATCAAACATGCAAAAAGGTGGGAAATGAAATTTAATTTCCGTCTTCCATGGAATTGAAGTGCAATCAAACATGGCCTAAGTATATTCGATGGATATTATTGAGGAAATAATATATTTTAAATAGTGATATAATGTAAAATATGTGGTTAAAAAGTAAGAAAAAGTTATTGATGTAATATAAAATATTATTTTATTGAAAAATATGTGGTTGAAAATGAGTTTTGAAATAATGTATTTTAAAAGAATATGTACCAAACAGATGCTAAATAATGAGTACCATTTTTTAGACATCCAAAATAAATTATTCCTCAAAAGTAACTTTTTTCTGCTTACCCAAATAGGAAAGATTATTTATTTGAAAGTTACTTAAAAGTAAGTTGAACGTTTTTAAGCATAGGCAAACACGACTCAATAAGCTCTCTCCCCACCATCTGTCTTTCCCCCGGCATTCATTGTGTACATACACACTTCACCAAGCCCAACCCGATTAATCACACAAATATTTAAGCCAATTCATACTTGCCCACGCCAGTCAAGAACTCAGCTTGACTGTACATTTTGCGTAAGAGGTTGTACCTCGCAGAGAGAGAGAGAGAGAGATGCAGAGCCATAAATGCTGAGCAAAATTGGAAAATGACGTGAATTGCAGCATTTCTGCAAGTATGTCGAGTATGAAATTAAAGTAAAAGAGATACCTTAATGAATTTCATATCCTTAAAGATAATGCAAACTCAACTAACACTCTGGACTTGGTTGGAAATATCGCAAACTTTTGAATCTGCAAGCTCATAACATTAATAATCCAACTAAAAATGTCAGCTCCAAAGTCTTCTTTACTCATCTTCACCGCCATATGCTCGCACTAAAACCCCCAGCCAACCGCATGTTTTCTCATACTTGCAAAATTTTAAGTTTTTGGAGATTGTGAATTTCGACATCGATGTGGAATTCGGCGGCGCAGTCGACGTCGTTTAGGGAGGAAAGGGACGACGAGGAGGCGCTACGGTGGGCGGCGCTGGAAAGGCTGCCGACGTACACTCGTGTACGGCTGGGAATCTTTAAGAACATTTTGGGAGATTCCAAGGGAATTGACGTGGAGAAATTACAATTGCAGGCACATAAAATTATACTGGATCGGTTATTAAACTCTGTAGAAGAAGACTGGGAGAAATTCTTCAGACGACTGCGACGTCGTTTTGAGAGGTAATTTATTGATTTTATTTTATTTTTTGATTCATTTGGAATGAAATAATTTATTATTTTTCTTTGCTCTGCTGGGTAGAAATTAAAATTCAATTTTTAATCTAAATCAAAGTCAACGGATTATTTTCATTACACATTTTATAACACTCACAACTTTTCAATCACACATTTCATCATTTTTTATCAAAATCTATTAAAAATTTGATTTTAGTCCCCACCAAACAGATCCAAAATCTAAGATCGTGGTTAATTCTTATTACAATTTCGTCCTAGCTGAGACATGTACACTACATGCTAAGTCCCAATGTTCAAAGAGGCCATATTTCATACTCGGCCAATTTCTCGTGGGAGTCCATTTTTTAAAACTCATTTTTTCAATCTGTCATCAAACTTTTAAGTAGCGGTGACAATTTGCCAAGTCGAGATGAATCGGCTCGGCCCATGTACCCATGAGCTCGATCAAGCAGAGCCGAGTTGAGCCCACTTTTTTTTAACTTTTTTGTTTACATTTTTACGAGCCCACTAGCTCTCGTGAACGCCCAAGAGCCGCTCGCGAGCTTAACGACCCAAGCCTTGCTTTGCTTGTTGGCTATTTTACCATCCCTACTTTTAAGTCATCATTTGATATTCATTCTTTAATTTTTTTTTTTTCAAACTCACGGTAAAATAATTTTACAGGTAAATAAAAAAAAATTCTACTTTTTAANTTGAAAAAGAAAAAAAAATTATTGATGTGATGAAAAATATTATTTTATTGAAACATGTGTGGTTGAAAATGAGAATTGATTTACTGTAGAAAATCAAAATCCATACCAAACAGGCCCTATATCTATAGCACACACAGACCACCCCCCCCCCCCACCACATATTCAAATGATTATTTTATTTTAAAAGTCAGATTCAAATGATTATTTTATTTTAAAATATATTTTTCACATATAAATAAATATTTTAAGTTACAAAATATATTCTTCCAAAAAATGGGCTCAAACAAATCCATAATCATTGATTAAATTGTAAAACGTTTACATCACAATTATTGAATATCAAATTTAAAAAATATTTTCTTGGAAAAAAAATATTATTTAAACTATTAACTTAATTCGATATATTCGATGCTGAATTTCACTATGTTGTAATCTTTTAAAAATAACTTAAATGAAAGTTGGCTGAGCGCTAGTGTTTTATTATTTATTAACTAATTTAAGTTTGAAAATAATATATGTAATACTATTTAAATAATAGAATTTTTTAATTCAGTAAATTTCTGAATATGTAAAATTTGCTATGCTAGATAAACAATAAGCCTCCGTTTGGTGGGGATTAAAATCAAATTTTTAGCAGATTTTAATAGAAATTAATGAAATATGTGGTTGAAAAGTTATGGGTCCTACAAAATATGTGGTTAAAATTAATTATTAACTTTGACTTAAATTTTTAACAAACAGGGGCTAAAATATAGAATACAAGACATTTTTGTCATTTTTTTAAATAAAGCACCATGACAGTCCTAGTGTGCTTTTTTAAACTTCATCAAGACAGGATGGAGGGCTAAAATTTCGTGATTATGTTTTGACCATTTCACATTGTGGCATTGCAGAGTAAATTTAGACTTTCCAAAGATTGAAGTCAGATTTCACCATTTGACAGTTGAATCTTTTGTTCACCTTGGTAGCAGAGCTTTGCCTACAATTCCAAATTTTATGTTCAACATGACCGAGGTACACTTGTTGGTTATGTGTATCTTAATCTATTGATATGTTTTTATTATCTGACTTTTCTATTTAATTTTCAATTTAAGGCTTTGTTCAGGCAGCTAAGGATATCCTCTAGTCGAAGGAAGCTGAAAATTTTGGATGATATTAGTGGGATAATTCGACCAGGAAGGCATGTAACCATTGCATTTTTCACATTGTTCTAGTTGGTTTGCATTAGTTAAAGTACCTTATTGCGTGTTAATTTATCTTGTAGGTTAACTTTATTATTAGGTCCTCCAAGCTCTGGAAAGACAACACTGCTTCTTGCCCTTGCTGGACGTCTTAAATCCGATTTGCAGGTAATAAAACTCTTTCAGTCCTGCTGAAATTTGGTTATGTTATAGTCATCTAATTGCATGCTAACTGAAACCTTTTAAAATCCATTTTCTGCAAAATCTCAACTGAAACCTGGATTTCTTTATAGATGTCTGGGGAAATAACTTATAATGGACATGGTCTGAATGAGTTTGTTCCCCAAAAGACAGCTGCTTATGTCAGTCAACAAGATTGGCACGTAGCAGAGATGACCGTGAGAGAAACTCTTGACTTTCCAGCACGTTGCCAAGGTGTTGGGTATAAATACGGTAAGCTCGATTAGACTCTGTGAATGTTATTACAGATTACCTAGATTCGGATCTTAAAATTGTAACAGATATGCTTCTGGAACTTGCAAGAAGAGAAAAGATTGCTGGGATTAAGCCTGATGAAGATATTGATATATTCATGAAGGTACGCATATGTCTCAGTAGAGCATTTTTTCGTTTTACCAAGATTTATCATTACTGGAGTTGATTTCAATTGAATACATTTTCATTTCATAGGCACTGGCTTTGGAGGGGATGGAGACGGGACTTGTTGTGGAGTACATTTTAAAGGTATTTTCTGGATGTTAACCAATGAATGATGAATGTGGCATTTCTGCTGTAGCATTGGTCTTCCTTGCTTGCTCATACATTCTTGCCACTGCACATTTATGATGTCACATTTTTTTGTCTTACATCTTAATAGAAAATTCAAAGTTTCTTCCTTCTTTACTTCTGGATGTTTTGAAGCTACACTGTTTGTAAAATCTGAGATAAACGAATTCTAATAGATGGAAATTTTCTGTGAAAATGATTCTTGAATTCCACAGAATGAATTATACAAGTTACAAGATACAATATATATACACTTTAGGTGAGGAAAAGGACAAAATCAATTACAAAATAATGAAAGTATATTCTCCTAACAGAAACCACGTGCAAGGCAAAACGGATTGTGGAGCATCTAATCTTCTAGGATCTTCCATTGCATAATCAGTAGCTGATGAAGCTGGAACAGATGATTAGGCAGCTGATGGAGCTAAGATGGATGATTAGGCTGCCAGCTCCTTTAATTCTTTAGTTTCCTTTAGCTCGTGCTTCTCCCCAGCTTGTGCTTCATCTTCCAACAGCCCCCCGCAAAATAGAGAGTAGATGTTTGATACTCCCATCTTGATCATATGAAGATAAAAACTTAGACTTCAATGCCTTAGTCAGAATGTCTACACCTTGAGAGTCTGTGTGCACATATTCAGTGGCTATTTCTCTTGTCTTGGATGAGATGACAATCTATCTCTATATGTTTAGTTCTCTCGTGAAAGATGGGATTTGTGGCAATGTAGATAGCTGATTTATTATCACATTACAAGTTGGCTGCTTGAGTGTGCTGAATCTTCAAATCCTTAAACAAGTATTTCAGCCAAATTAATTCACAACAAACATTAGCCATCACCCTATAAGGATGACCTTGATACTACACTCTATTTCTTCGATTTCCAGGAGACTAAGGATGATCCAATAAAGACACAGTAACCTGTGACTGACTTTCTAGTATCTGGACAACTTCCCCAATCGGAGTCTGAGTATCCCTTTAGCTGAAGTTCAAAGGTAGAGCGATAAAATAACCTATGTCCTGGGGCTCTTTTAAGATACCTTAGCACTTTGTGTGTTGCATTGAGATGGGGCATTCTTGGCTGATCGATGTACTGATTTAGAATCTGAACTGAATAAGATATGTCTGGCCTAGTTATAGTTAAATATAACAGGCGTCCAATGAGTTGTCGGTAGATGGATGGATCATCAAGCACTTTCCCTTCTTCTTTGGACAATTTGATGTTTTGATCAAGTGGAACCTTTGCTAGGGTTGACCCTATGGTTCTTGAATCTGCCAAAATATCCAGTGTATACTTTCTTTGGCAAATATGAATTCCCTCTTTCGATCTAGCTACTTCAATACCGAGAAAGTACTTCAGCTTTCCCAGATCTTTGATCTTAAATTGAACATCAAGTGCTCTCTTGAGGCTATTTATGGCTTTCAAACAATTTCCAGCTATAATTATATCGTCCGTATAAACTGTGACTGCAACAAATAAATCTTGAGTAGTTCTAACAAAGAAGCTGTAATCAACTTTAGACTGAGTGAAACCATGCTGAAGAATGAAGTTGGATAACTTTGTATACCATTGTCTTGAGGCTTGTTTGAGTCCATACAAGCTTTTG